CACACACACACACACACACACACACACACACACACACACACACACACCCTGTGCCTTTTCACAGGGTTTGGGAACTGCCTGGTAGCTTACTTTCCCTAGTGTTCATTCTGCTGGAAATGAAAGGAAGTGAAGGGTAGATAAGCCTTGATAATTGTGGAGTGTAGGGAAGGGTCTTGGTGTTGGAGGCAGAAGGCTTGGGCCTCCCCCACATCTCCAGTGTGACATTTGGAGCTCCCTTCACTCATTTTCTGGGAGTAAAATGTGGCTCTTTGTCAAATGGGCTTTTAAGTTCAATAGTGTTGATGCCTAATTAAATCAAGAAATGGTTTCTCCCTAAGACAGCTTTTTGCTATGCCCTTTGGAACTGGGAAATATGATTAGCTTCTCAAAAACTGAAATCTGATCAGAAATCCAAGTTTAGATATGAATTTTTGGAAAAGGTCACTTACTGACTTAAACAGAGAGAAAAATGAAGACTTTTAAACATCTGGCCTAAAAATATTTGAGATCTATTTTTTCTTAACTTTGGTGTGTCTAATGGTTATGAGATTTGGGGGCAAACCCCTCCATACCAATTTAAAATTTTGGCAATTGAATTTTAGAGGGATAAATACAGCAATCATCTGGTTTTCTTTCCTCTGAACCCTCCTTTCCCCCCCTCTTCCTTTTATGGGTGTTCCTATACCCTACATCTTTGGGTAGTGCTGATCACCCAGGAAATGGGTACCTTTTGAAAAGTGATCGCGAGCCCCCAGCTAGCACTGGGGACTTTCAGAGACTCCTTTCTAGTAAGGAAGAAATGGGGCTGAGTGGGGGTCCCTGTGTTGAGGGGTACCTGGACCCAAGATTGGAATTCTGCCTTGGTACCTGGGCTCTGTGTCCTCAGGGATGGAGCTGCTCCCCAATCAGGAGTTTATCTTTGTAATTCCAGGTAATTGTAAAGCAGGGAGCAGCCTCGCCCATTCTGCCCAGGCTTTTACATCGGTCACACACAGGCTATTTGGGAGTTTGTTGTCTGAGAGGTTTATCTTTTCGGTAAAGCTTAGTTTAGGAGAGAAGTTCCTTTGGACCTTGCTGTCGGGGGAAACAAAACCAGCTTAGGGTGACCCTGGTTCAGGCTTTGTTAGAGGAATGGAAAATGTGTGGAACTTTGCCCGGCAGATCTCTGGTGAACCCAGAGCTTCTTTGCTCAAGCGCGGGGCTTTTAGAAGGGCCCTCCTTCATTTATCACACTCACTGATTAGCTCGTAGCTAAGGCTGCCCTTGGGGAGTGATGGACTGATGTAGAGAAGGTGACCCTGCTTTTGGCCAGGCTTTCAGGTTGTTAATGACCAGGACTCTGGATTTAGGGGTGAAGGTAGAGAAGATGGCCCTGCCTTTGGACCAGGTTTTCTGAGTGTTAATGACCAGGACTGTGGATTTGGGGATGAAGGGCATTGGTATATTAGCACAGATGGTTAGTGGGTCCACTTAGCAAAGACAGAAGTACACTTTCCTCTGAGAAGGTAAATAAAGGCTTCTTTTGATGGCGGTGGGGAGGTGGCTAAGAGTTCAGATGAAAACCATCCTCCATTGACCAGAGCATCTGCGTGTGTGTGTATGTCTGTCTGTCTGTTTCTGATCTAGACCCCATTCTCCCTTTCTATGACTTTGGGATTAACTGGGTCATGGGTTCCTGTTTGCTTTTCTGCCTCAGTTTTCCTCAAAGTGATTTGTGGAAAGGAAGAGAAAGCCCTAAGAGGCCAGGGCTCGGTTCCTAGGGTTTGTTTGCCTGGTGGCCAGAGGCCCTGCGCAGCTTCATGGTCTCTTGCTTTGGCAGCAAACCACTGGAGGTAAAAGGAACTGTGTCCAAGTGCCTCCTCCACCTGGGAGATTGGTCCCTGGACATCGTGAGTCAGAGGTTTTCCCCCCAGCCCAGCAAAGCTTCATCATTTCTGTAAAATGCTGCAAATCCCTGCATGAGCTGTTTGAAGCCCAGAGTCAGATAGAATGAGAACTGTCACTTGGGGTGAGATGCTTTGGACCTGGACTGTGTTTCTGTTTGTTAAAAGCATCCTCTTGGCAAGATGGTGGCCCTCCATTGAGACTGGGCCTGATTGGGGTGGGGCAGAGCGTTGGAAGGTCCAGTCTCAGAAGTAGACTGGGGGCTGCTTTGGGGAGAGGGGACCTGGGAACTCAAGAGCTTGCTCAGATTCATCCCTAGGGGCAGATCTTGTGCTGGGGGGATCCAGAAGTCACCTCATCCCAGGTGGGGGGACCCAGGTTGATGGGAAGCTGGATGAGAGATGGCATCTGGGGCCATAGTTGAGAGGGTGGCTCGTCCATGCTGAGGCTGATTGTTTTGGGGGTTTTGCAAGTTTGCCATGAGGATGGTCCTGAGAGAGGGGAGCCTTGTTAGCATGAGTGTCTGGGGGCCCAGGGAGCCTGTGCTTTGGGGTGGGGGGCTGTGTAGAGATCCCATAAAAAGCAAACGCAGGCTCACGGCTTAGAGCCTGGCCCTTTTATACCTTGTCTTGTTCATAATAGCTTAGCTTAGGGGTTCCAGGAGGTACAAGGCCGGGTGGAGCTGTGGCAGGAGTCCTCAATGAGTTGTCACAAGACCTAGGTTCAGATCTGGGCTCTGCCCCCGGGTGACTCTGTGGGCAGATTGCTTCTCTGGATGTCCCTTTCATCATCAGTAAAATGGGTGGGGGGTGGGAGGGTGAGATGAGCTCAAGAGCCCTCCCGGGTCTGATTTCCCAGCCTGCTTCACCCCCATTTTGGGTCTTGTTTTCTAGGTGACGATGCCAGGGGAGCCAGTACAAGTGGCCTGTGGGGTGGACCACATGGTGACTCTGGCCAAATCATTCATCTAAGCCTGCCGCCTGCCCTGGCCGTGCTTCTCTCAGACACAAGCCAGGCCCGCTCTGCTTGAGGTGCTGCCTTCTGGGCCCCATCCCATCACCTTGTCAGTTGGACTCGGTGGGTTTGGGCCCCTGGAACATTTGGACCATTTGCCTCTGTGCTGCCAACCAGTGACTAGACCCTGAACAGGGGGAGTCCTTCTGGCCGGGGTCTCTTAGTCGTGTGTGTGTGTGTGTAGTTGTGCTGGGGGTGAGGACGCAGCCCCCGCCTTCCTTTCTCTCAGGGTTGCACTTACGGCAAGCCCCTTCCATGCTGAGGGCCGTATGTCCAGACCCCAAGTCTGGGCTTTGTGTGGCCCTCCCCAGCAGCAAGGTGCTGGGTGGGCTGCACCAACAAGAGCCCTGTGGTGATGGAGGAGGAGGCAGGGCCCTGGAGCCTCGTCTCCCCATTCATATGTTTCAACTCTTATCAAACAAAATGATGGCTTTCTCTGGGAGCAGCAGCACTTTGCGTGGTGCTGGCCAGTTGAGCAGAAACTGGCTGGGGGCAGGGGAAGGAGCGGCCTTTGGACCTTCTGAGTGTATTTGATCAGTAAGAGATGACCCAGCAGAATTCATGGTTGACTTGGAGTTTCCATGGCCCCTGCTGATGCTTGGGGCTGCCAGAGCCACACTGTCTTCAGCTGTTACTTAATTTGTGTCTGACCCGGCATCCCTGGGGCCAGTCCAGACCTAGCTGTGGGTGGACAGCCTAGACCCCTCCTGTGCTGCCTTATTCTGCAGAAAAAGGGAGAGGGAGAGAGAGAGACTCACAGAGATAGAGAGACGAGACAGAGAGAGCGTGAGAGAGAGCGCTTCAGGCCCTGCTTTCTGTTGGGAACGTCACAAAGTCACAGACAGGGCTCTGAAGGGGAAGCTGGGTCTTGATACTGCACTTGGGAGCCCAGTTAAGTGGCCCCCCCCAGGAGAACAACCGCTTATATTTCAACGCTGGGCAGTAGCGACACGAGCCCACCACCAAATCCCCTTGGGCCAAAGGTTTCAAGTGCAGTCAACCTTGCTCTAGAGAAGAAAAAATCAACCCAGAGGTGACTTTTTGGAAAGAATTTCACTGAGTGTGCCTGTAAAGAAGCCCTTTTATTCACTTTTGAATAAAGCAAATTGTGTTTTCTGTTAGTTGCTTACAGGAAAAGAAGAAATGCTCACTGGGACACAGGGGCTGGAATTCTCCCTACCAGCAGAGAGTACCTTTAATTCACCTGGCCATTTGGAAATTGGCCATGAAAGGTTAAACCCTAGAAATAGAGGCACAAATTTGGGATTATAATGAAAGAGAAAATGAAAAACATTTTACAATTCAATCCACCGAGTTGAATAATGGCCTTCTGGGAAGGCCTGTGGTGCAACCCTGGCAAAGGTTAATAGCAGGAAAGAGAATGATGCCAATTAGGTAGCCCCCGGTGCTCTGGCCAGCCGGCTCTCCTGTCGATTTGTTAACAGGGTCATCTCTGCTACGCCACGTGCGATCAGGCCCCTCATCGCCAGGGACTCTGTTTTTCCCACTGCAGACCGGCCTGAGATGGGAAGCTAACCAAAATCTGCATCTCCTTTTCCTTCTTTGTCCCGTGAGGGCCTGAACTGGTAGAGGTGCAGGAAGGCGGGATTCCAGTTTGCTCCCAGCTGCTGCCAGCAGCCACGGGCTGGGCTGAGTTGTGCCAGACGAGACGCCAGGGTTCTAGCCTTTATTCATTGTGGGCCAAGCCCTGGAGGTAGGCAGATGAAAAGGGAACAGTCCCTGCTGTCAGGGAGTTTACGTTCTGTCAGTCAGCAAGCATTGGTTCTGCCTACATACTGCCTGTACACTGCCTACAGTGTACCGGGTATGCTAGGCATTGGGTAGACAGACAAAAAGGGAACCCTGCTCTGACCTCGAGGAGCTTACCACCTATCTGTAAGCATTTATTAAGCGCCTACTCTGTGTGGGGTACTGGAGATCCAAAGAATCTGCCGGTGTCTTCTGGACACCCTGAACTTTAATAAATTTCTCATGACAGGAGTCTAAAACTCTCCAAACACCTGTATGACTTTGTGTTGTGTTTCCTTCTTTGGGCCAAGATCTTGGGATTTAGAGCAGGAGGGGACCTCAAAGGCTGTCTGCTCTTACAGATAAGGAAACTGAGGCCTGGGAAAGTTTAGTGACCTGCCCAGGGTTATGCCAGCTGCCAAGGGCAGAGCTGGCTGGAGAGCAGCGCCATGGGCTTCACAGAGCTGTGTGACTATGACCAAGTCACAAACTCTCTGAGCCCCTTTACTTATCGATAAAAACAGGCACAGCACCAAGTACAGTGCCTTGGATGGAGTGCCTACTACTAAGCTTAAAGTCTGTTGAGTTTAATATTTGGGGTGCTGATGCTCCTGGTTTGCTGTCAGGTCCAAATGACAAATCATACAGCAGGGTTGTCATCAACCTTAAAGCCGGATATACATGCCTGTGTCGCCAGAGGGGCTGCTCTGACACACTGGCTGTGTGACCTTGGACAAGTCACTTAACCCTTCAGTGTCCCAGGTTGACCTTGTGTCAGTCTGTCCTGGCAGGACTTTCCTCACTGCATTGGTATTCATACAATAGGAAGTAAACTTGAACTTCCTCCCAGAAATGACAAAGGCTAAAGACTGTTTTCTTATAGAGGAAGGAGGGCTCTGGGAACAGTGGACCTGGGTTCAAATCCTGATTTTGCCACTTACTACTTGAATAACCTTGGACAAAACATTCTGGACCTCAGTTTTCCCATTTGTAAAAGCAAGGGGGGTGGACTGGATGACTTCTGAAATCTCGGCTAGCTCTAGAACCCCCAAGGGCACAGTGCGATGATGCCCAGGGCTGGAACAATTCTGGGCTAGCTCTAGAACCCCCATGGGCATGGCGGGATGATGCATGGGGCAGGGACAATTCTGGGCTAGCTCTAGAACCCCCAAGGGCATGGTGCGATGATGCATGGGACAGGAACAATTCTGGACTAGCTCTAGAACCCCCCAAGGGCATGGTGGGATGATGCCCGGGGCAGGGACAATTCTGGGACCTCTTCTTCCTCCCGTCAGATTCCAAGTCCCAGAAAGCCAAGTGGGTCCTGACTCTGTTGCTAACTTGCTATGTGACCTTGGGCATGTCACTGTGCTCTCTGGGCCTCAGTTTCCTCATCTATAACATGAGTTGAACTACAGGGGCTCTGAAGTTCCTTCTCGCTCCAGGCCTGTGATTCTGGGAATTTTCCAGGGCATCGATTCATTTCCTCCCCTGAGGGGGTGGGTCTGGAGAACGGGCAGGGGGAAAGAGATAACAGGGATATCTTGGAAAGACACTGCCACACCTTGCTTTATTTGAATCGATTTGATCAGTACAAAAGCAGACAGTGTTCAGTTAACTTTTTTTTTCTCTGTTTTAATTAACACTTTACAAAGTACAAAATATACTGTCATTTGTTTGGGGACATTAGGTATTTTTTTTCCTCTCTCTCTCTCCGTTGTACAGTACATGAATCTCCAGGATTTTTGTTTCTGTTCTGCCCAAGACCCCCAAAGAAATGGGAGGACCCTGGAGGGAGGAGAGGGAGCCCCGAAGCAGCCTCGTGACTTCCCCCCACTCCCTCGCCCCACCAATCTTCCCGTCCATCCCAACCACAAGGCCAAGGTGCTCCAGAGTGGCTGATGCTGGTGGTGTAGCTGTTGGGTGACTCAGGGATGGTCCTAGCCAAGTGCTCTGGGCTGGCATCTTCAGAAAGAGGGAGGACAGCACATAAAAGAGCTAGGAATGGGGGATGGGGGTGGGGATGGACGGGACACCAGCTGGAGAACAAGAGAGAGCTACCATCCAACAGTCATGAGCTCTCCTGCCCCGCACCCCTGCCTCTCCATCACTTCAGGGTCACCAAAAGGGTTCTGGTTCTGGAGGCAGCAGTAGTTTGTCAATCCCTCCAGCCCTCCTGAGGGCTTTCCAAATAAGAGAATTTACACCATCATTACCCTCCACTGAGCGGCTTCCCCAAATACCTAATTTCCACTCTGGTCTCGTTCTGTGGTGGCCTCTGGGCTCTAGGACATGCCTGTCTCCCAGGTTCTGCTGGGGTTACACCCAGAGCATGACTCTATAGCATTCCAGAGCAGGGAGAGATGGAGAGGGTAATGGTGGCCACGGGGAGGGGGTCAGGGGGCTGCCCTCCTGGGGTCCAAGGGGAGTTAAAGAGGCCGACTACGTTACAACCGGTCCTCGATCGCGAATTCATCCATGCCAAATGACATCACAAAAGGAGGGGACCAGCTGCTCCCTCTTCCCCAGAGCAGAAGCTCCAGAACGTTCTCCCCTCCCCCTCCCCATTGGCTTGAGCTACCAGAAGCCAAGGTCTTTTGCCTGGTTTGGGGCTGGAGGATGGGATGGAAGTCTTGAAGAGGTCCATGCTCTCCACGTGGGTGGTGGGAGGGATGGGTTTAGGAGGTGGGCAGGCACCATACTTGGAGCAGGGGACAGAGAGCGCCCCATTTTCCACGGGCTCAAAGTAACAATAGCCCCCAGGCTCTGAAAAGGGGGCTTCTGAAAGAGGGATAACGCCACTAGCCAGGGCTGATACTCCTAAGGACATTCAGCCATCCCTTCCTTTCTGTCCCCCTCCCATGTCCTTTCTGGCCCTGCTACAGTACTTATTTGGAAAAAAAACAAACAAAACTAAGTGCATCCCTTACAGAGGTAGAAGGGGTGCACACACCCACGCACAACATGCAGAGCATCCCACGGGCTGTGGGCAGACAAGGTAGGGGGCTTATGGACTCTAGCGGGGAGCCCTCTGAGCCCGAGGGCAGAGGGATGCTGTGACCTCACTGGCCACTCACTCTGTAAACTGCACCTATGAGCAAACACTGAGCCAGGAGGTCTATCCCTCAACACTGAATGGACTGGGTACCTTCACACACAAACATATCCATTCAGATACCTTCACCCACCCACCCACCCACCCACCTATACTCATTCCCTCCCACCACACCCACACACACCCACACCCACACCCATCCCTATAGAGGAACCATCATTTTGGCCACTCCCAGAAGGCAAATGTTCACAAGAGGACCCTCTCTAACCCTCCCATTCCAAGAGGGCAGGTTTTGGCTCTTCCCTCCCTCTGCCATCCCACTACATTTTTAAGAGGACCAATTTTCCTGCCCTCTAATCAATGACTTCTCAGTCCATCTGTCAACCAAGGTATCTTCTGACAGCCATTCACACCATGCCCCACGCTGAGAAGAGAACTAAGCCCCTGACCCACAGAGCCTTTCCAGATGGTCTTGGAACTTTACCCCAGTGCCATGGAACCATGGCATTCCAGAGGGTCCACCAAGTCAACCATCTCCCTAGGACCTCAACGTAGGACTCAGGCTGTCTCAGGTATGAGCTCTTAACCCTCGCACTGCTTCTGGCCTGATGTTAAACGTCCTAGAAGCCACGGAAATTGGGTAGGACTGTTTAGGGAAAACAACTCCTGCAAAGTGGAAAAGCACAGAGGGCCTTGGCTTGGTGTTCAACAGGGCCACTAAATGGTCGTGTTCAATGCGCACTCTTCCCTCCTCCTTTCCCCTGTAACTTCCTATCCATCACCTATCAAGGTCTGACTGTAGACACTTGGCTAGGGAGTGGTCCCTCATTCTTGAGTTTGAACTGCTCCAAGCCTTCCCGGCCCCCAGAGGATTCTAGGGTCCAATACTCCATGTCTGAGAAGGGCATCCCAAAGCAACATCCCAAGAACACGTATGCTTCTGGCCCACTGCCTCTGCCTAACACAGAGCCCCTTCCCAGGGGCCCACAGCCACTGACATCACTCTGGAGGACAACAATAGAACATGCTGCAATCTCACATTCAAAAATGTATATAAATAGGAAATGGGTTGAAGGCCAACTCGATGGCTTCACTCAGTAAGATTCCCTGGGAAGGTGGAAGGAGAGAGACATTCAATTTGTCTTTTTGTTGTTATTAACTTAAGGATCATTAGAGAGATGGGGATAATCCAGACTTGAGATTGGCTTCTGCATGAGAAGGACCTGAGGTCAAGCAGGGAAAGAGGCAGGCCCAGCCCGCCACAACAGAGACAAATGCTCACATCCACACACAGACCACAACACAAGACACCACTCTTTCCCTTGGAAAACAACCCCAATCGCAGAAGCCAATTTGTCCAGTGTCTGGAAGAAAGGGGAGGAGGGGGGAGGGGGAGAGGGGACAACATTTCAAATGGCTATCAAGCTAGATCCCGATATGGAGCAAGATGGCAGCCATCTTTGAAAGCAAACCAACCAGGCAGCAATCATGGGCCTTCTCCAACTTTGACCTCTTCTCTTCTGCTCCCAGTCCAGTACCCCAAAGAAACACTTTCTGAAAAATGATAACACTTATGGTCTTAATTTCTTGCTAGAATTCCACTTGGGTTGGGAAAAGATCTCCCATCAAATACCACGTGCCGACCAGCCAATCATGTCACCTTTAGGTTGCTGTTAGCTACTCAGAGAGACAACCCTCTGTTTTATCTACTTTAGAGTCAAACTGTTGAATGATATCCGTCCTCAAGGTAAAAATGGTCCTTTCCCAGGCACTAATATTTTTAAAGAGGCCGTAAAAAGGGGTCAACAAAGCAGCTTGCCAAGCCTACCTCCTTTCCTTAGGGCCTTCCTGTTCCCAGGAATTGGTGACACCCCTCCTTGGTGGCACTGTGAAAGGCGAGCTACCTCTTCCTCTACTGGGCAGAAGCTTGACTAATGTCATCCTAACATCCAAATCTACAGAATGGGTGCACAGTAAGTAGGTGATGGGGGAGCGCACTTCCAGCTCCAGCTGGAAGGTCAAGCTCAGAAGCTTCCTCATACCTTCTCCCTTCCTCAAAGAAAGTAGGTGGAAAGGAATGAGGACAGGGAGCTGAAGAGTCACCAGATCACTGAATGTCCCAGCAACTCTGTCCTGGGGGGGGGGGGGGGGGGGGGGGGGCCACTATGCGTAGGGGTCTTTCTCAGACCAGGAAATTTGGCCTTTGGCCCGGCATTAAGGGAACTGGCTTAATCTAGCAGATAATCCCAATTACAAGAAGGCTGCATTAAAAACAGACATGTTTCAGCAGCTTATTGAAGGAAGTGAGGGTAGAAAAACAAAACCCAGGAAAACTAAAAGAGATAGCATTAAAAAAAGCAAAAGCCTTGAACTTACTTAAGATTTTCAACACTCGGGGCGGTCAAATTCTTTCTTCTGGGAGATCTGGCCTGGCTTAGCCCCACTGGTCTATTTTCTCAGGCCTCTCACCCCACAAACACAAGCCTTTTGGTGGTTGAGCAGGGCAAGGACTGTTCTCTCTTATCTGTTAGAAAGGGTAGTAGCCTAACACTGGCCCTGGTAACCTGCCCTACTCCAGAAGAAGCCAGGTAAAGGTACGAGGTCAGTGGTCTACTAGAGGCTTAAGAGCTTCCTATGTTTCAGACAAATAGGTAAGCATTAACCAACTTTATGGAACCCTGCTCTAGCCCTTTGAAAGACCCTGCTCCATTGACTTCTTCTTTTTCTTCTTGTCTGGAGACTCGAGGAAAAAGCTCTGTTGGGAAACCCACCCATCCACTTACAGCAGAGCAGCTACCGAGAGTATCCCTATCTGCAGATGCACAACTTCTCCAGATCACTGGCCCCTTCCAACAGCTCCCTGCTCTAAACATTTCCCATCTTGGCTTAGGGCCTTGTAGACTTCCACTACCTTCGAGGCCTGGAGGGTTCTCTGGTCATTAACTGTCTCAAGGCTGTTCCTCCACCCTGTCCAACACGAGGGGAAGGAGGTATAAATGTGCCCACGTTCTCAGAGATGATCCCACCCACTCCTACTCACTCTCTCCAAGGGTCCTTCTGATGCTAGGGAAGGACTCACGTGACCAGGAGCTCCTCCCCCAACCAAGCTAACGAACTGGGGTGGACTGCCACGGGAGTCCAGAGGACTTCAGCTTCCTGGAGGACCCTGGTGACCCTTGAATGGCACCAAGTGCCATGGAGCCGAGTGATGGGAGAAGCTAAGGAGGTAGAAATGTGTGCAGCCCTAAAAGGGACACTTATTTTGAGGGTGGGATGCTTTGGGGGCTGGGGGACTGGGGAGGGGGCAGAGGGAACAGGGCAAGACTCCAAACCCCAGTCACAAGAGGCAATTCGCACCGCCAATCCATGCCCCTGCGCTGGCCTCGTCTTCCTCATTCCAAATGCCCAGAACTCGTGAGAGCAGCTGTGCTCATTCAGATGGCCACGTGGTCACACATGTGCACACGCTCTCCTGCCAGTCTGGCGCCATGGCAGGATGCCTGGGGGGGCTTTCTTCATTCCATTTGGGCCACCCTGGCCCACCAACCCTCCTTTCCCTGGGCAAGCTTTGAATCTGCTGGGGTTCTTGGTGAGAACAAGTACTGTTCGGGATCACATCATCCGCGCCCTTTGGAGGGGCTGGCCAAAAGATGAGGAGGAGGATGGAGGAGGGAGATGACTGAGCTGATGTGTGAGAAACAGCGGAAATGGAAATGCCCTGCCTAAATCAGGCCCTCCAATAACAACAACAAAAAAATAGAAAATGCCCCCATTCCCCATTTCCTCTTAGAGCAGGTGGGATCTGGCCCCTGGGAGGCCCCCGGAGAGTGAGGACGCTGCCAGACGGCCAGCAGAGGCAGCAGACAAGGGCTACTAAGTCACATCTTGTCTGAAAGAACAATAAAGGTCAAACTACTTAGAAGCTACATGATTCATATGTACTCACAACCCCCCTCCCCCCAAAACAACCCCAAACCACAGCACCCTTTTCAAGCAGGCAAAATAAAGCACCCAATGTCTCCTTGGATGCTAGGGTGTCAGGATGAGACTCCAATGTTGTTCAGCGGTTATGGGCCTGGACAGCGCCTGCCCCGAATCCAGATTCAGGGTCCAAGAGCTGATGTCCAGGCCAGGCCCCGGCTGCCCTACCTGTGCCCACTGCTGACAGTCTATCAAGGGTATCCTTTCCTGAAAAGGACTAGTCTAACAACAAGAATATTAAAAAGGAAAATGGAGGAAAACCTTCCTTAGGTCAGGGGCCAAGGGCAATTCTTGGGAGACAAAGGAAGGAAACGCCCACCCTGTTCCCAACCTTAAGGAAAAACACTTCTGTGCCACAGCAAAGATGACCACTATCACAGGCTGAAGGATGCCCCACCATGGAGGCCCTCCAACCCAACAGGGGAGCGGAGCGGTTATGTCATGAAAGGCCAAACCGAACCCTCAAGAGTGCCCCTCCCATGCCCCCAAAGCAAGCAAACCAGGCTACGGTGGCCAGTCTGGTCTGGATTCTGTCATGACTGACCAGGGAGGCTACGGCGGGAGAGAGCAGGGTGGCGAGCCCACTGGCTACAGGACAAAACGGACAAGGTCAGAGAGCGGCTCGAGCTCCGGGTCCTGGGGCTTTGGCCCCAACTCTGACCCCAGGTGAACTGTGGCTGCTGGTTGTTTGACATCAGGTTTGAAAAATCCGTACGGCTTATCTAAATAGTTGTATTGCCCATATATCTGAATTAAAAATATATGGTGACTATGTGCGTGCGTAGCCGTGCCGCACATACCCAGCACGTGGACCAGGAGACAGATGCCACGGTGGCAGCATCCCATGGGCACTCCCGTGCCTCTCCAACTGGGATGTGTCTGCACATGCGTGAACGCACTCACACACTCACAGTATATATTAACATATATATATATATATTGCTCAGGTATATACGCTATTTACAGCATATATATATATATCTCTATCAACATAAAACACAGGTATTTATATGTGTGTCCAACAGGGTCATGTCCGGGTGAACACAACGCATTCTGAGGGTTTGGACAGATGGACGCACAGACTCGCGCCACACAGCAGGGAGGGACATGTGGGGAAGTCAAAGGAAAAGGGGGGATGGGGGAGGATTTGGGCTGACCCAGGCATCTGAGGGACCAGACAGCTGTGGCTTGCTGGCCCTCATTTCCCTGACACCTGCCCCTCTAGGGACCAGCAAGGAATTGACAACTTTTGGTTATTTCAGAGTTTTGTGCAAAATCACAGATGGCAATTTTTTAAAAGGGGGAGGGGAGGCTTCCATGCCAAGACAAATCAAGATGGATCCCAATGGATAGCTCCACAATCCCGCCTCCCTCTGTCCACTATCCTCTCCATTCCTCACAAACAGGAGCCCAGACAAGCTCCCTCCAGCAAGGTCGGGATGAGAACGGGGTGTGAGTGTGTGCTGGGGGAGGCAGCTCCCTCGGCCTCTCTCCTCCACCCCCTGGAAAAAACGAATCAGGGAAAAAGGGACTTCATCACGTTTCTGAGAAACAGTGCAACTCGACTGACCTTGGCAAGAAGGGCGTGGGGGAAGGAGCTGTGGTGGTCGCGGGACCCTCCTTGGGACGCTCTTCATTCCCCTTTGGTGGTCTGAGCAGGCCGTTTCATCCATCTTCTGGATGGAAACCAGGGCAGAAAGCCGTGTCCTGGAGGACAGATCTGCCGTCCTCATAATAGACCTGATGAGGGTGGGCTGGGGTGGGCCCAATTCAATGGAAACCATTCTCTGCCACCATGTTCACAGCTTTCTCTTTGGTCTCCTCTCCCACCCTCACCACTCACCCCTAGGCCCAGGCGCACACACACTGGCGAGCATGCTGACCCTGGACTCTGTGTGGCTCGGGACACCTGGATATGTGAATTTGAGGGGGATGGAGGGTGGGTGGGAGCAATTGGGGGGGGCGCTCCTCTGCAGCCCCAGCCCTTGCTGAAAAGGGCTCCCCCTCCCGCGCCACCAAATTAACTTTACTAAACAGCCTGAGTGCAAAAAACACTTTAAATAAGAAACTAAAACAATGTCATTATTTTCTCTTCCTATTAAGGCTCATTAAAGTGGCCTCTGAGTTCAAGTAATTGCTCGATGAATGCCACGTGTCTGGGGGGACGCTGATGGGCACAGGGAGGCACCAGATTTTCAACTTCCTCTACAGAGCTGGGGATACAGCTCTGGGATAAGGGGTGGGCCTCAGAGAGGCCCCCAGACATTTCAAAGGGCAGGGGAGACATGAGTCTCATGCAGATATAGTTGCTGGCTGTGGTTGTCAATGGGTGCATGTGACTTTGGCCCAATGAAACCTAAGGCCTGAGAGGGTATGAGACCCCCTGCCCCAAGGATGGACAAACTCTGTTGTTTTTTTTTTGGGGGGGGGGGTAGAGCCTGAGTGCTGCTAGAGGCCTCAGGCACTATTTTGCTCTGGGCGTATTAGGGTCTTACAGGTTGAAGCCACTCAAGGGGATCCCCTAGGAGAGTGTGACAGCTACTTTTACTGGAAGATGGGGCATAGGGGGGGTCTTCCCTGTTGTGTAGGCTACATGTCTCTGGGGAAGGCATGGGAGGGGGCAGCGGGGAAGGGGCAGGTCAGACCACAGGGTCAACTAGTGGAAAGTTCTGGGAGCAGGCCGTGGACCTGATGATGAGGCCAGTGAGCTCCTTCTCTCCACAGCACGCGGAGCCCCTGTGGCCAACAGAGGCGGCTGAGGTCGGTGGGGAGTGTGGCCGTGTGGCGGAGGCTACAGATGGCTCGGAAAGACCAATGCCGCTGGGCCAGCAGTTCTAAGTACCTTTGGCTGTGTGGTTTTACAAGTCTGGGGGAGGGGAGAGGGCGATTTTCCTGGAGGGTCTCAGCGAAGACCCCCAGCCTAGGTGACCCAGCAGCAGCAGAAGGGCCAAAGGAATTGTGGGGGGAAATTAAAATCACCTCAGCGGAGGGTCCTTTACCATCCCACACTCCTGCCCCCTCTGGGGCTCAGACGGGAGGTCCTGGGGCGAGAATCTAGGCAAAGTTACTAGCAAGGACAAAACCATACCCCCTTCTGGCCCTGGGAAGCCTGATCCCCCCACCTTTAGGCTTGCAGAGGAATCCACTACCTCCCCTGCTCCCCAGGGTGCCAGCTCCTTCTAAAGCCTGGGAGAGGCTGAGGAGACATCGTCCCTCAGCCTCAGCAGACCAGCTGAACCATCGGGGTCCTGGGAGCGACGGGACAGGGGCCAAGCAATGGGGGAATGGGGTGTGCCAATGGTGTGGGCGTGTGTGATAGGAGGAGGAAATCAGAAGATCTGAGGCTGGGGGGCTTGGCCTTCGCCACCTCCCACCAACTCCCTCGAAAACTGAAGAAGCCTGAAAGAAGAGGACCCCCAGGCTTGAAGAAGGGGCTGGGTGAGAGAATTCCGAGGGCTCCCAGACACAGTCTCACACCAGGCTGAGTAAAGAACGTCCCCTCCCATCATCCGACTATCGTCCGTCGCCAACTGGCGGCCTCTTGGGAGATGGCGACTTCTCCCCGCCTTTCTGTCATCGCTGAGGTGAGGAGGGAGGAGAGCTGGGGGCGGGCACGTCTCCCCTTTCTTGCTTCATCTGTGGGAGTGTCGGGGGTCTGCGCCCATCCATGGTGGCTTTGAATTCCAGAGAAGCAAGGAGGGCTGTCGGCGTTCTCACACACATACACGCGCGCACACACGCACACTTACGCAAAACCCACTTCACTTCAGACCTGACACCGGCCCTCGGTGCTCACAGCCCCGGGGCGACGGAGGCTCCTTCAGAGCCCTGCCTTGCTGGCTCTGTCCGTGGGGGTCTCTATGGACCGTTTACTGGTTTATGAAATACTGCAAGAAGAATGTTGGGGGGTGAGGGCGGGGGATGGAGGCGGGGGGGAGCACGGGGAGGATCTGGAGCGGGGCAGGGAGAGGGGAAGGATGGGGAGCGTCTAATGCTTCTCTGCTTGACTGACTTTCAAGGCATTGATGACACCTTTGATGTTTTCTTCTGGTACCTGTGGGGGGTAGGGGAAACAGAGTAAGCACCTTGGGGTCCCCCATGCTGCCCCCTACCCAACAGGCTGGAGACTTACCAACGCATGGTCAAACTTAAAAGTACTGATGTAGTAGGCGGGGATGTCGGCAGCTGCCAAAGGCTCGGAGATCTGCGCGACGATCCCACATTCATCTAGGAACACAAAAGCCCACTGTTTCTGAGCCTTCCATGATCCGGGCCCTCGGCACCTTCCCAGGCTGATTTTTCCACCTTCCTCCCTTCCTCCCTCCCTCCTGCCAAGTCAGACAACTCTGCCGCCTTCCAAAGACGGTCCCCGCTCCAGGTACCCTCTGTGCACTGGAGAATGGGGTCTGAATCCTGGCTCTGACTTCCTGCCTGTGGGACTGTAAGCGAGTCGCAGAATGTCCTAGTGCCTCAGTTTCCTCTTCTGTAAAACGAGGGGGTTGGCCCGGACGGCCCCTAAGGTCCCGTTTCCGTCTCAGATCCAAAGCCAGGAGAGTCTCGTGTCCCTCAGCTCTGGGCACTGGCGTTCACCCCTCTGCGGGCAGGCGTGTGGCCACAAGCTGGGGGTCTGAGAATCCCTGGGGTTTTTCCTCTCTGCTTCCACCACGTGCCCATTTCATCAACGGGCTCAGCTGTCCTTCCTACAGGAGAAGCCTGCAGCTCTCTGCATACACTGGGCACCAGAGTGCCATTTTACCCGGTGCTCTTTGGAGACTCAGCCACCATCCAGTGCACGTGGTGCTCCCGAGGGCCAGAGCTCCGGGGACGGGAGGTACTCATTTTAGAAACGAGGAAGGTGAGGCCCGGGGAGTTTCAGGAAGTGTCTCAGGACCCCTGGACTACAGCTGGAAGAAACCTCAGGGGACAGCTAGTAACTTGTGGTGTGGTGGAGAGAGTCAGAGATGGAGTCGGGAAGACCCAAGTTCAAATCTGACCTCAGATGCTTACTAGCTGTGTGACCCTGGCCAAGTCACTTCACCACTGTCTCATTATCCTCATCTGTAAAATGGGATTAGTAAGATCATGTCTGTAAAGTGCTTTGCAAATTCTAAAGCACCATATAAATGCTATCATCATCATCATCATCATCATCATCATCATCACCACCATCATCACCCACAGATGAGGACACGGAGGTCTCGCCAGAAGTCACACAGAGAGTAAACCATCCCTATGCCCCAGGAAGGCAATTCTTCATCATCCCTGCCTTTCAGCATCTTCCCAATCTCTCTTCGAGGTTCAGCTCTGATAATACCTCCTTTGCTTATGGTACCCATCTTACAGATAAGAACACTGAGGCTGCTACGTTGCACAGTGCCTGGCCCTCAGGAAGCTACTCACCAAAGCCGAGGGGCTGTCCTCCAATCCGCACCATCTTCCAGAGCTCTCCGGATGCGCTCGTGAACAACAGATTATTTGGGAACCTTGGAAAGGGACGTGTACCAAAGGCCTGCGTTAGCCAAGGTGAGCGCCCTCGTGGCTGGGCTTTCTGTCCTCCCCCTCTTCTCCGTGACCCCCAGTGATTGTACACAGCCGGCATCTACCTCTGCATCCCTCAAGGCCTCACGGCTTTCAAATCTGCCTTTTCTTCCCATCTTCTTTCACTCTCACAACATTCAAACTGACAGATGGGAAAGGGGAAGATGGCGGGAGACTTTTGGATGATGTTAAGAGAGAAGCCTGATCTCTTCCCTCCTCGCCATCAAATTCCCCGAGGCCTGCCTCAGCTCTGGAGAGTTACAACGGAAGGAGACCTGGGGACAGAGCCAGTCACAGGGCCCGACGGGTCCCTCAACCTCTCAGACTCGGATTCCTTCTCCATGAAACGAGGAGGCTGGAGGAGACGACGGCTCAGAATCTGGGACCCTGAGAGCTAGGCCGATGGGGCGGATGCTGCCCTGGAGGGGCCTGAGACATCGGGGATGTCTGTTCCACACCAATCACCCCTCCAGGTTCTAGGACACGAGCAGCTCTGAACGAAGGAGGCATGAAATCCCACCCACCCAGACCCTCGAGATGCCACAGATCCGACGTTTGGGGCTGTGTTTCCCTGGTCTCTCCCAGCTCTGGGATGCTAATGGTAGCAAGGTCTAACACGAGGACACATGGGAGGGGGGGCCCCGGCCCTTGCCATCCCCGCGCCAAGCCCCAGGCCTCACCTCTGCTGGGTCTGCACATCCATCACTAAAGAGATGTAGCCTTCGATCAAGGAGAAGGAGAAGAAACGGATGTGGCCACAGTCCTCATTGCTTACCACGGCCTCCTTCACTCTGGGAACACCGGGGAGAAAGACTGCTCAATAGCAGCCAGACCACCGACCCCAGACTCCCGCAGCACCCCCAGCCTCAAAATGGGGGTAGAAGTGAGGAGGAGGAAACAAGATTCAGCGAGGCAGTGCTGTGGGCTCTGTGATCCCATGTAAATCACTTTATCTTCCCAGGCCCCAGGATACTCTCTAAGCCTAGTAAAAATGGGGGGCGCTAAAAAATCCATGAGGATGCCTGAGGGTCGCACATTGACTTAGACAACCACACCAGAACATTACGTTTTATTCTATTTTCATTTTGTTCAATATTTCCCAATTACATTTTAACCTGGTTCAGGCCACTTGGGAGTCGCTCACAGGCCCTGGGTTTGACACCTCTGTCTAAGACTGTAAGTAGTAAGTCAGGTGCTGATCTACACTAGTAGAGGGTATTTCCTCACTTGGGCGATCCCTACCGTGGTGAAACCATGGTTTGGACCAAACCAACCCCCCCCAGAGTAGAATTATTACCACTCCCCAGTGTCTCTGTGGCTCACTGCCTGAGCTTGCACTTAGCCAAGAATTTCTCAGTTTCCAGGCTCTTAGGGTATCTGTAGGAGACTCTCTGACCTCCAGAACAAGAAGGAGAAATCGTTAGGGCTGGTAGATGCCCAGGCAACGGGCTGGCCCGCCTCCCTTCTCCGGCTATCTGAGTTATTTATTCATCACACTCCAACGTCTGTCTCTACATTGGTGCCCAATGATGCCCAAGACATGCCGGTGTCTTCTCAAAGGGAGGTCCTACCCCAATGGAAAGGCCAGCAATGGACTGTCCGTCTGGCATCTGCAGACCACTCCAGCTAAGCGAGGCTCGGCTCATCCCTACAGGGTCCTGAGAAACTTAGGAAGACTCAGGAGGGATTGGGATCTGGGCCAATGAAGGATATGCTCACCCACCCGTAGGGATTCTGAAGCACTGATGCGCCCGGGCAAAACCAGGTTAAGAATGTCGATGGAAAAACGCCAAAGAACATTCACAAGTAAAATCTAGCAAAATTTACATGGGACCAAATAGACAAATATGTATTAAGCACCTACTGTATGCTAGGACTTATCCGCTAGTTGGGATTATTTATGCCATTTAAACTCAATAAACATTTGTTATTGTTGTTCAGTTGTGTCTGACTCGTTGAAACCCCATTTGGGTTTTTCTGGGCAAAGATTCTGGAGTGGTTTGTCATTTCCTTCTCCAGTTCATTTTACAGATGAGGAAACTCAGGCACACAGGGCGAGATGACTTGCTCGGGGTCACACAACTAGTAGGTATTGGAGGCTGGATTTGAACTCGTGAAGATGAGTGAGTCTTCCTAACTCCAGGTCCAGTGCTCTGTGGACCATGGCGCCCTCTAGCTACCCCATTTATGCCACAGTTTGTCTTTTAAGAGTGTGGATAATTCAGAGAAGGCTGTATGCCATCTTCCCCATCAGATCGGGGGCTCCCTGAGGGCATCAGAACAGGGGCTGAATCTCTCCCTTTCCTGTTTCCTTCCCAGCACCCAGAGCTCTGTCCTCCAAGTGACCAGGAGTCTCCAGTGGGCAGCTCTGGTGCTCTGCGCTCCCAGGACCTCCCTTCCCAAGGCAGGAGTGCTGGCTTCCTTTTCCTTCTGAGGTGAGGACCTACCCATTGGAGTAAAACATGACATCCATCAGGAGTGTGGCCACAGTGGGGAGCGTGTCAGGATCCAGGCTGGTGACACAAAACATGTTACTGGGGCTGGAGAGAGGGTGAATGACCGGCCTCTGAACTGGAAGAGAACAACAGAAAATATGGAAAGACCAATAAGTGAGTCAGGGACTAAAGAAAAAGCGCCAGACAGGGTTTGCCCAGAGGCAATCTGTGCTGGTCCGGGAGACCTACAGGCAGGCTCCCTAGGGAGGTCAGGACATAGGAAGTCCATTAGAATGGGCTAAGTCCATACGCACGGAAAGGGAAGAGACAGACTTGTTTTTGCTGAGACAACCCTCTCCTCTGCCCAGAACCTCAGTGACACTGCCTCCTCTTACCCATCTTGGGTTTCACAAAGCCGTTGGTGATGCCCAGGCTGTCGGCTGCTACCGTCTCCCCATTGACGACCCGAAGGATGGTGAATTCAGCTGCCAAGGTGTGTGTGACAAAGGGCAGGTCCCTCTCGCGTACCTGGGGGAGGACAGGGAGTGTGGAATTTGGGGAGAGTCAGGGAACTGCGTGGCAGGGTGTGTCAAAGCCCTTCTCTTCCCGGGACTCAATGTCCTCACCTGTGTGAGAGACGGGGCTGGATTAAGAGGCATGGGGGAGCACTAAGGTTCTTCCCAGCTCAGACAATCTGTAGTTTCATGATTTCAGACAGAAAGGAAGCGGGGAAGGCTTCTCTGCTCCTCCCTCCCTGGACTCATCCCTAAGCCCTCTGCTGCCAGAAAGAGGAAAAGAAGGAACAGAGTAAAGAAGGAAAAGAAGGACAGAGGAAAGAAGTCGGAAAATTCTCCAGGGCCAGGCTGTGGGGAGAGGGATGGGGGCCCCCAAAGGGAAGGTATACAATGAAACCAGTTTAAATCAGTCTTCAAAAAACCTTGCATAATTTCTATCCAAATCCTATTCAATCTACGCAAATAAAATGGCACCTAGGCTCTAGCTTTAAAAACAGAAACAGAAACCGAGGATGATAGTTAAACGCCTGGAAAAATCTATTTCTATACGACAGATTACATTCTAGGCCTCTGAAAAGGCCCAGGTTATATGGTAACTGAGAAAAAGAAGGGAGTATCTACAGGGGAAAAAGGGTTGGAAAATGACCTCAAAGGGGGTGGGGTCAGTTAAAATGGCCAAATCCTAGGCCAGTGTAGATGTGCTTGGAATGTCCCCAATGAGCACCTTACCAAGATGAAGTCCGTCTGATAGGTAGAAAGCATGAACACAGAGATATTCTGGTCGGCCAGCGGGGCAATCACCGACTTGGCGATCTTGGTCACCCCGATGGGCTGAGAACTGGAGAAGCTTCCCCCACCGGACACGACGTTCAGGGCTAGCCACGTTGCGTCGGCCACACTGAGTTGCTCTGAGGATGGTAGCTCTGTAAAGGGGAGAGGGTCGGACCTTGAGCACCCAGCAGCTAGTCCTGGGGGATTTAACCGTGTCCTAAGACTGGTTCCCTGGTTCCTCATTCTACCCATTTCCCATGACCCACTCCTCCATTCCACCTTGGTCACACACAAAGACGGTGATACCCTTCCTTGATCGTGCTAACACCCACAAGTGTTTAGACTTCTCCATTCATGAACCGACATTTCTCTATCTGATCATAATCTGTTATCATTCCAGTTTCCTTTCATCCTCACCTTGACCTCCATTTCTTCCTCTCCCCTCCCTCCCAGACCATCATTCCATCACTGGCTACTTCTTCTCCTTTAGCTACGTCCTTGACTTTTCGGTGAATTAGTTCAAGTGGATGCTACGGTGTCCTCCATTTTGAATTCTCTTGTTTCCTTGTTTTACAGCCCATCCCAAAACCCAGCTCTGGATTACTGCCACCACTTGCATCCTTTATTCCTATTCACTGCGTTGTTAACTGAAGTTAGAGAAAGTCATCTGAAGTCCATCATAAATATGGTTAATCTCAACGGGTTTCGCCTCTTCCCCAATGGATTCTCCACGCCACTCCCCACAACAGTTGTTCCAAACCAGGTCTTCTCTCCTCAGCCTGCCATCGTATCCTTCCTCTCTCTTACCCTCTCAGCTGAAGACCTGACCTTGTACTTCATAGAAAGAAAGGAGACTTTGGACCATGAGTTCTTCCCCCCACCCCTTGCTCATCTGAGATCATCAGCCATCGTCCCCCACTTTTGCTCCTGAATGGAATGATGAGGCAGTCCTTCTCCTTGCCAAGGCAGACCCCTCTCCATGGACCCGGAATCCTAGCCCCTCCTGGCTCCTCACCTCCACTCTCACTATTGTACAATCTTTCTCCGTCTCCTTCCTTGCTACCTACAAACATGCTCAACCACCTTCTGTTAACAGGTGAGGCGTCTGAGCTAAGGAGCAACGTGGAGACTCCCTACCTCTGGACCTCTAATAATCACAGGTGGCATTGATATAGGGCTCCAAGGTTTGCAAAGCGCTTTAAGATGACGGTCTCATTAATCCTCCCAACAACCGCATGACTTAGATGCTATCATTATCCCCGTTTTATGGATGAAGAAACTGAGGCTGAGAGCTGTTATATGATCTGATTAGGTCTGAGGCTGAATCTGAACCCAACTCTTCCTGAATCCAAGTCCAGGGCTCTATCAGCTGTGCTACAAGGCAATACTCTTCCACTACTGATATCCCCCACAAGATATATGTACCTTGAGGCTCTGCATACGCAAGGTACTTAATAAATTCTCCCTGCCTGACTCCAGGCAACATCGCCAGAACGTAAAATTGCGCAGGGCCTGGGAGATCTCGTAAGCAGAGGAAGATGCAGTCTTGAGTAGGGGCCGGCTTGCCTAGTGGCTCGGAATCTCTGCTGCCCCCTCCCCTCCCAGAGCCCTTGGCTTTTCCATCTCCCGCCTGCTCCTCAGCAGCCCCTCCCCCCATCCTTGGCCATGGACCATCTTGTGAAACGTGAACATAGCTGCTCAGGTTCCCAGGGCAACCCAGCTCCAGTAGCCATGGTGACCAAGCCGGGGCCCCAGCGGGCCACGCAAGGGGGGATGAGGGGCCGCCTGGCTGCGGCTAATCCTGAAAGCCCAATTTGGGGGATTAATTCCCACATTTTCCCACGGGCAGGTCATCCAAGGGGGCAGCTGAGTGGAACTGCTGAGGCTGGGGAGCAAGGCAGGCTAAGGAGGCTTTACAAGTGGGAATGCAAGGGCGGGGCTGAGCACGGGCTGCTCACATCTGTCCCCCTCTCGGCCAACAATAACAGCAGCTGCCGGGTATACACAACCCGGGTTCAAATCCCAGCCCTGCCGTCTTCTAGCTGTGTGACCCTGGGCAAGTCACTTCCTTCCCCTCAAGTTTTCTCATCTGGAAAATGACAGGGGTGGCCTCCATGGTTTCTGAGGCCTTTGGGCAGCCGAGATGTGAGCTTTCCGGACGTCTGTGCATTGGCCATGGAGTCCCTCAGCACACAGAGCAAGACTTTGGTGGTGCAACCGTCACTCTCCCTGAAGAGAAGCTGGGATTATCGTGAGAGGCTGAAGGAGAAGGAGGCAGTTAGGGAGAGACGTTCTGAGCAACAAAGGTTAGAGATCACCCTGACTCAAGAGCCCAAGTCCTTCTGTCCTACCAGAGGAAGGAGAGCCCTGACCCTGCCTCAGAACCTCAGTCATCCCATCTGTGAGGTAGGCAGGGCTGAACCCCTTCTCCCTCTACCCGGACTTCTTTTCTCATGATCCTCCCTGTGCCTCATTAGGGGTGGCCAATTGGACCGTGCTAGAAAACAGAAGGAGGAGAAACGGGTCAAGCGGTCACTTCTGTCTCTGCCACTTCCATTGTTCCTAGGTCTGTCCAGGGCTGCGTGCCTGCCGACCACTGACTGGACAGAGGAAGGACCATGGGAGAGGGGGACAAGCGGGATGGGCCATTTCTTTTTTTAATGGAGATCTTCAAGCAAAGGCTACGTGATGGGAGGTCAGTGGAGAATGATGTCAACAGCAATCGCTCACAGTCAGAGGGCAGGGGTTCAAATCCTTCTCTTTATGGCCTCGGGCAGGTCACAATCTGCACCTCAGTTTCCTCCCCTGTCAAGTGAGGGGGTGGGCCATCTGAGGTTCCAGATCCATAACCCAGGACGGATGTTTATGGAGGGTTATATCAAGTGTGGATATCTTATGAAACGCAGGGCTGTCAACATCTCTTCCCTGTCCCAGATTCTGTGCAAATCCCTCCAAATCAGTGAGTTTATGGGGCTAAAACAAAAGACCAAAAATGCATTGTGCTTCTTTCAGGTACACGGAAAGAACACACAGCTTTAATGTTTTATAAAGAAGCTTAAAAAAGTGTTCTTTGGCCCAAGGTAAAATGGAGACTGGGGCGGAGGAAGGAATTTCTGCTTCCCAAAGGCTGTCTCTTGTGCTCTAAGCCCGCTCCTGTTCCCGTGTCCCTGAGCCAAGCCCGGGAGGGCCCTGGCCCCGGGGCCCGAGCTGCTGCCTGCAGACCCACCATCCTCCAGCACAGACAATGCTTCCCCAAGGAAAGGCAGGGGCTGGGGGTGAGGCCCTTGGAGGGGAGCCTTCCCCTGCCTGCCTGCTCTGGCTCCTGAATCGTCTTGCCTCTTACAGCCCGCCTGCCCACCCGCCTTCCCACTCAGAGGCTCACAGATCCAGGTTTGGGGGGGTTCTCAGGAGTCATCGAATCCCACCCTCTCCCCTTACAAAGGAGGAAACTGAGACTCAGAAGAGTTAAGTGACTTAGGCACAGGCTCACAGAGTTAGAGAAGCCATCCAATCCAGTCCCCTCATTTTACATTTGAGGAAACTGAGGCCAAGGGAGGTGAAGCAATTCCAGGATCCTAGCTTTAGAGCTGAAATGGACCTCAGAGGCCATTTAATCTAACCCTTCCTATTTACAAAGGCGAGAAGTGAGGCCTGGAGGAGAGAAGGGATTTGCCAAAAGAGACAATGACAGGATTTGAACTCAGGTTCTGGAGTTCTACCTACCGTGCACCACAGTGCCTCTCATTTAAATGGGAGCTGCTTCTATATCTCAGGTCCATTTATTACTGAAGCCCATTAATTCAAAAGCATTTATTAAGCCAGGCACCGTGGGTACAAAGACAAATATGAAATGGTTCCTGCCCTTAAGATCCAGACATTGCATTAATCCCATCACCCAGTAAGCTCCTACTATGCGCCAAGCCCTTTAACAAAAATGGTCCCTGCTCTCAAGGAGCTTAC